AGGCAGCAGATAGGAATGTACTCCCTGGCTGGTGGTCACAGGGAGGCTGCTCACAACACTGATGTCTTCATCTGGCACAGGTTAATTTAAAAGATGACATTTTAGTGGAAACCTCTTAATTTATGTAGAAATTACATAGAATGCGTCAATTTGTGGGCAGAGAAGCAGCTGCCATTGGCTTGGGTCTCTCACTGTAGCTGTGGTTTTGTGTTACAGCCTGGGTAGTGGCTTCCTGCTAACACTTGTCCCCTCATGTCTGAGAATGAGAAAAAGAAAAAAACAAAACTGATCACCCTTTGACCACTAGATCAGTTCCTCAGTGTGGTCCATGGCACAGGCTGTGGAACCACCGTGCCAACACACTTGAGACAACTGCGGCGTGTGGTGGGAGAACTGAATGGTGTTGGCAGGACAGCCATGAATGAGTGCCAAAAGCTTTGCATCCCAAATGTGCAGTATTGCTCTCTGTTTATTCACTCTCTTCCTACCTTCACGGTCTTCACTTTCACACTTAGGTGCAGCTAAACCCAATCTGTGCTCCAGCACAGATGTTTGCAGTCAGTCTGTAAGGGAACCCCTCTGACTTTGTAACCCACTGCCTTCACACAGTCCTTGCCAGGCTGATCAGTGCCCCAGGCACTGGAGGTCATTATTTCAGCTCTCACTAAATAAAGGGATATTTAATTTATCTCCACCACTTTCCATTAGCTTAATTGAAGAGTGTTTAACATGTTCCACAAGGAGCGTCTTCGAGCAGAGCAGTATCTCCTTGCTGACCCTGGTAAGACCATTCTGCCTCTCCTCTGATATGGTAGTCTTCAAACTTTATCTCCAGGCTATGTCAGTATTTCTGGTGTTGGTACCACTTAGGATTAGATTGTCTTTCCAAAATTCGCATGACTTTAAGAAAAATATGATAAAGCAACATGTATTGACTAGTCCTGTAAACATACTACTCTAATCCAGGACTTTACTGTCCTTCCTTTTGTGGCATATATTCAGGCCTGTTCATCCCTGCACTAGATAACAGTATATGTATTCACACTGTTACAGCTGAGAAAACCTTACTCTTCTGAAGACATGAACTACTTTTTATAGGACTCAAACTTCTGTTTGCTGTATTCAAAGGAAAATATTTCTGAAAATTGCTGATAAGTGCATCTGTTTGAATTCATCAACTCATTACCACTATGAAAATTTGATAAACAAATATCCTTTAAGTGAAGTTTCCCACACTTGCAGTGTAATTACATTCTCCACTACTGCATTTGTTTCCTCTTTAAAAGAAGCAGGGGGAACACTGAGCAGAATCACATAGTCACATTCAGCATTTGATATCAATATCAAGAAAGTACAGAAAGGTCCATTGAATCGTGGAGTGATTCAGAAGGCAGTAGAAGAGGGCTCTCTGGCTATGCAAAAATGTCAGTGGTTCAACATTAGATCAGAAATTTCTTAAACATGCTGTTAGGGACACTTAGTTGTTTCATCTGATTTTAAAACATCAGCAAAGTGAGTCTAGCAAGGTGCAGTGAGGAAGTGTGTTGTCACATGCCACGCTACAGGAAACAAGACCGAAGCTGCTGAGGAAGTTCAGAATTGGGTGACCTCCAACGGATTCAAATAGCACAGGTTAGTCCTCTTAAAACATCTCTTTAACTATCCTACAGGGGTTCTGCATGTGTATTTTCACTGACTTTTGGTGGCAGTGGATAAGGAGTGGTCCATATGGCAGTTGCGTTAGCAGGTAGTAAACAACGTGGGCTTTCAGAGCAGAGTGGTACAGGGCAAAAATAGGAAGCTCATCTGTGAGTTAGCTTGGTTTGTGAGAAGCTTGGAGCAGCCTGTCTTGCAGTACAACAGCAATGTGGACCTGAGTCACGTTAGACGTGTGAATGAAATCTTCTCTGTCTTGTTAAGACTTTCATATAATAAGTAAAAGGTCTGAATTTTTAATAGAAGTATTCAGTGAATAAATACCAGAAAGTGCTTTTCCAAGCACAGGTTAAAACCATTGACTGTAGTGAAAACTTCACTTTGTTTGTTTTGGCTGTACCAAGTAGCTGTTCTCTTTGATTTTACTCGTGTAGTCTCTTGTTAAGGTTTTCTCTCATTCCTGGTGATTTCTGTTGAGGAATTCCATCACAACTTTTCTGTGCTGAAGGATTTTGATTGGGAACACACTGTATCTGGAATAAAATGGCACTTGGTTGGTTCTGGACAACTTGGGAGCTCTCAGAGGGAGACTGTTTAATGGGATGTATGTTCTGTACTCCTATGCAAAAATATAATTCTTACTTTTAAATTACTAGGGGATTGTGTTTAATTATAAATCTTAAATGCAAAGTTGGAATGAAAGTTACAAAGAAAGCAACCTTAATGATGATAAAATGTAGAATATAGTAGTAATACTGCAGAGAATATGAACAAATTAAATCCCAGCACAGGGCCTGCATGGTGCTGGGAGAGCATGGGGGGAAGAGGAGGTGACAGCCGCATAGGGCTCAGGCGGTGGTGGCAAGTGCCTCCCCCCTGCTCACTGGGCAATGTCACAACCTGTGAGGCAGAGAGGCTTGTACAGTGGCAGTGGCAGCAGTCTAGCATGAAATGCAGCTGCTGGGGATGACAGTGCTGTAACAAGGGCATGACAGAAGTTAAAATCAGATATATGACTGTCAGGAGAGTGTTCCTAAAACTGCCCATACTTCTTCCCAAATATTTTTAAGAACATTTCCCTGATTATGTAGAAAACCAGACCAAGCTGCACAGCTCTCTCAGCCTCCTCATCCCACCCAGCGCGTTCATCCTGTTCTCAGTGTAGAAACATCTGCATAAGATGGATGCAGTGGCTCCAGACAGACCAGGCTGCCCAAGCAGGGAAGTACTCGCCTCCTCCCGGGCATGGAAGTGGATGCTGCATCTGGCCCTGCTGCGCGGCACTGAGGGTCTGGGCGAGATGGGAATGGCGGGGCTCTGTTTCTGGGAATGACAGGGCTCTGTTTCTGGGCAGTTAACAGATCTGTGGCTCAGCCTTAAGAGCTTGCTCTCATGTTTCAAGCTTTGAGGTTTTACGCACAGAGAAGGCTTTGGCCTTAGCTGGGCTCCCCTGCTTCTGTAAAACCAGCAAGTTTTCAGAGAGCCAAAGTTCTGCCCCAAATCAGCCTTTCTGATGTATTAGGGGTTATAGCCTTCACCAGAGCACTGTTTAACTAGGAATGTGATTTAAAAGCAATTTAGTAAAATCCCACTGCAGACATTTTCATTTCAGTCTAATCCTGTCTTAGAGTGGCTCATCTCAAATAGATTAGGAGTTGGTTTAAGCTAAATATAATGGCTCGTAAACAATATATTTGAGCCTCCACGCAGAGGCTTGTGCCAGCCATTTGAAATTGAATTACAAAATAAACCAACACACTTTCCTAAATAAATAAACCTAACACTTCTACTCTGCTACCAGGAGTGAACACAGGCAACCAGGATTGAAAGAGCAGGAGTGGTTGTTGAAGAGGGAGGATTTCTGAATGGGCTCTTTCCACCAGCTTGTATTATGAAAACCAGGGAAAGAATGTTTCTTCCTCTAACAAATTAAAAAGGAAATCTGCAAAAAGAGGAAAGGGAATAAAGAGCACAGACTAAACAAAATGAAATAAATATGCATTGGAATTAGAGAAAAGGAAACCAAAAAAGAAAATAGTAAAAAATGGAACCAGATGGAGACAAATTCTGTGCTCAGGAAAAAAAATACTGCTCTTCTGTTGAACTTCAGAAGGAAGAGAGACTGTGTGCATGTTTGTGTGCATTCATAGCATCTATGGAAGAAAAATTCATTTTTCTGGATTTTTTTTTTAATTGTTTATGTTCGTTTCTTTCCCTTGGCCAGTGTTAGTGTAGAAGTTTTTAGATTTGAGAGAACTTCAGTTAGATGAAAGCAACATTAAAGAATCCTTAATTCTGCAAATAAACAGAATAAATCACTCAATGCCATCTTAGTCACTGGCCAGTTTTGCTCCCCAAAAACTACTCGTCTGCATTACTCTGTTGATCTTGTGTCCACTGTGCCCTTGGATCCACATCCACGGTATTCTACTCTCTGCAAGGGAAGAAGTAGGAGTTAAGATGTGCAACACCACCTAATGCAAACCTGAACTGCATGAGCCAGCTTCAGAGAGTTTATAGCACGTTTCATTTCACCACATAGTGTATGCAAAGATTTCATGGCAGTGAGAGCTGGAGTCTTGAGACTGGTTTCTAAATAGAAGTAAATCTGTAAAATGCTGAATGGTTACTGTTCTTATATTTTATTTTAAAATTACTGCATTGTTAAAGACTTTTTTTTTGTTCTAATGCTAAATATATCAAATGGACAAGTGTATCTTTTGCTGGGATATTATTTGCAGCACATTTTTGTCACACCTTGCTAGCTGTTCCCTCTACCTTCCTTGCTCCCACACATGAATGCAAGTTCTGCAAGTCATTTCTGTAATTAGCTGTTAAAAGCATCTAGACATTGAAGGAGGTTAATTTTACTTTTGTTTAATTGATTTTTTTTCAGCTTTTGCCTGCATTTTTCTCTAGCTTAAACTATAGAAACCTCCTTATTACAAAGCTAGTCATCAAACCATGTCTCTTATGAGGAGCAACTGTAGTAGTGGATAATTCTGTTCAGTCTTACCATCATGTCTGTCTACGAGGTTTTTATGCTTTTCTGTTTTCCCTCCACCATTTATATTGGCTTTTACTATGCTATGCTGAAGTTGGGGAATTATCTTAAATTTCTTTGAGATCAAGTTGGATTCTTTGGCTTCAGGGACTGATATGGAGAGCACAGCCAGTGTGTTTTCCTGTTCTAATTCCTCTTTAGAAGGAGAGGGGCTCTTCTTCACGTGCTGCCAGTTTCTCATGCAGAATTTCAATTTATGCAAGCAAATACATAGGAGATATGTACCCAGGCTCTGTGATCCCAAATGGTTCACAATTAATAGTTCTTTTCTTCCTTGCAGGAGTGTGCAACCTGGGAAATGTTTTTGCAATTGAATTAACTTCAGGAAGTGTATTCTGGATGAATTGACCAGGCCTCCTATTCTATGAAGACATCTCTCCTGCTGGTGACCAGGTACAGAACCTGTGGGATTTGCACCGAGAGGGATGGGAGTGGGTAGAAGTCATGGTGTGAGCAGCAGCACAGGGAAGCATCTCTGGTGTGTGGCATTCCTGGCCTGTAAGAGTTGGAAGGTGTAGAGCCATCTCATGTCTTAGATTGCAGCGTGACAATATAGGAGTCATTCTTCTCCAGCGCGGGATTAATGGCAGTACCAGTTTACGGGCATTCTGTGATGTGGCACACCTTTCCTAAGGACAGTTAGGTGCCTTAGGTTACATCAAATTTTATGCCAAATCCACAAGCTTTTAACATGTGCAGCAGGTTGGTTTGTTGGGTTTTTTTCATTCCAGTAGCACAAGGCTAACAGTGAAGGGATTTAACACTTGGCAAGTAGGTCAGGAGACCTAAGGTATTATATGACCAAGCACTGTAATGTGTAGTTGTCGTGACTTAGAGCAGATGGCATTACACTTGAAAACTGCACAGTGAAGCCTACAATGTTTATGGTGTGGTGCTAATGAACAGTAATAGTATGAAAAGGTTCACTGAGACATATAGTTAATAAGAAAGAAAGAAATAACAGTAAGTTTATGGGTTTTTTTCACTGAAGCAGAAGGTTCATCCGAAAGTATGTGCTGTAGAAAGGCCGCAACATGCCGACCTAGAGCTGGTGTAGTCCAGTTGATCAAGTATTATTTTCTATCTGGGCCCTGTGTTGTAAGCCCCAACTGTGGCTTCTTTGTGATTAGTGGACCAGGTAGAAACTGATGCTGGGAGGGTTCCCGAGGTGCCTGCAATGTAGACATGAGTACAAAACCATTCAGGGTTCCTCCTTGATAAGGACTATACCTGGTCCATGTGGGTTGATGTTTTGGTGTAGTTTCAGCAGTGCACTTGCTTTGGAAACTACAGTCTGAAGAAATCTGGGTGCCAGGCTTGAGAGATGTGAGAGGGAAGAGTTAGCCCTAGGAACAGAAATGTTTCGCTTCATTCGTGGATCCACAACTCTTACCAGGCAGGATGGACTGCTACCAGATGAGGATTGGTGCAAAGACTATTTTTTGAAGAGTTATTTCCACAGGACCAAAAAAGAGGGTACTACTGAGTGATCAGTAGTCAAACATACCTGTTTGGACATCAGTGATAGGAAAGGATGGCCTGTTTAAAGGAGGGAGACATGCAGATAGGGAAAATATCAGTATTTTTAAATTGATGTTTATATTTTATTTCAAATTAGTAAATTGGATGCTGCAAAAAAATTTGTATTTTATTTCAAATTAGTAAATTGGATGCTTACAATGCAATACTGAGATAAAGATGGTGAATTATGTCACCCTCACCCATTTCACATGTGATATGGGAGTATGGAATGTCCTATGAACACAGTAATGATGACAGACAGCACAAATACAACCTTTGAAGAAAGACTGAAAGAAATATGATTGCTTAGCCTAAAGAGGAGAAGATCAAAGGGACATGTAAACAGTTTTCAAATAACCATGAAGAGGAAAGGAATAAATTCTTCTAATGAGAAATAGTAAATGAAATCACAGCAAAGGAGGTCTAAATTAAGTACTGGGAAAAGCTTTATTTGCTGTTATGCTAATGAGGTAGATGACTGAGGGATATTGCAGAGTTTCCATCAGTGGAGATTTTTAGAGAGAAAAGAGATAAATCCCTGCCATAGTGACTCAGTGGAAGAGTAGATGCCTTCTTCCAGCCCTGCTGTCTTTTGTTCAGTATTTCAGTCTCCTTGTTGACATGACTGAATTTTTCTGGTTATTGATGAATGCTGAATAGTTATTGCCTTTAAAATTAACATTTCCTTATGTACAGTACAGTATACTCCATACTCCACTTTTCAGGGAGGGAAGGTAAAATTCTGTTCCTGAGTTTCCTGAGAAGATTTTGCTCTTTTAATTTGAGAGTGAACAGGTAAAATGAGTGCATTATACTCAGCACTGTGGGAAAGTATTGAGTTACTGTTAGCAGCTGGCACGTAACAACCACGTCTGATCCTGGCATAAGAGGGAGACCTGAAAAGGCAGGACCTGCTGCTGTCTCAGGTGAACAGTTGTGGCAAAGTGCTCATTTTTAACACAGATCTCAAATCTCTGGTACTAATGGCAAACTTCAAATTCATGCTGGCTGTGCAAAACCAGCTTGGTCTGCATTGAACAGCATTTCCTAATATCAAGTTCTGATGGGTCAGGGCTCACCTAAAGAAGTGTTAGTCTGCGGAGTTCATGCAGCCCTGGTGCCACTGTACCCCTTCTGTGAAGCGGAGCTTTTTGACTCTGTGATGGTGCCCAGACTGGCACCCCCTGTAATCTGGCCTTCTGGGAGTCTACCTGTTCACGGGGGCCTTGGCCAGTCATTAGGCCTGCAGTTTAAGAGAGAAAGTAGACTTCATGAGAGTAATAACATCTTATGACCCAATAAATCAATATAAAGCTTCCTTGCAGCTGTGGGTTTGATCCAGATATTACAGCTCTCTGAGTTTGGAAAAAGTTTTCTTTTTATCTGGAAGCCTGTGGCCTCAGATTTTAAGTAGCTCTTAACTCTCCATTTAATTACAAATTCTGGTTTTGAAAGCAGAGATGTTGGGAGTCTTATTTCAGTCTGCCATATGCTAAACTTAGCCTTCAAATTTTCTGAAAATAAACCCAGTCTAGTTTTGCCCATGCAAGCTAACCAAATAATTCAGTCATTCTGGTCAGGGTTTTGGCCGTATTTATAGGATTTGGCAGATGTGATGCTAACTTTAGCTAGGGCTTAACAACTGTGACAGCCACTCCTATTACAAATAAATTAAAGGGGAAATTAGTTGCCACCCTCCAATACCTGCTGTTTCAGGGCACCTGCACTGAGTACTCCAGCCTGCTGTGATTAATTTGTTTTCTTCTCTGAGCTTCTGGTAGACTGGCATTAGCAAGGACAAATTTGAGCAGTCCTGTGGAGGACTCTCCTGAGTAAGAGGACATGTTGAATGTTCTAAAGAGGAAATGCAAGTGTTGAATGATGGTATGTGGCTGCTTTTGGTTTTGTGGGTATGTTTTTTCATGGCAGTGGTATGCCATACAAAATTTTTTTTTTAGCTTGAACTACAACAAACTATTACTTTTTATGCAAAAAGCTGCATTTGGAATACTAGCAGGAGCTCAGACCCACTGTCTTGAATAGAGGCAAATAACCTCCAAACCCAGCTGCTTCCTGGGCTCCCAGTGAGGTCCTGCACGGCCTGTGTGGCAGGCTGCCTCAGAGCTGCCAGCTAACATGAAGGTGCAATGCTGGCTGGGCACCACTTCCAAAAACCTGGCAAGAGCAGGAGCCGCTGTGGATCCCAGAGCAGCTGTCTGGGGCAGCTTGTCTCTCCTCAAGCAATGGCTTGTGGCTCCTGCCGAGTTCAGGCAAGATGTTGATTTGTCCCTCCTGGCATATTCACCTGCCTAGCACGTCCACCTGGGTCTGACCTATACAGTCAGCTAGATATGACCTCATATGGGATGTCTCTGCACTGACCTGGGCACTCTGGTAGACCAATGCCCTGCAGGACTGGCACCCACATGGCACACTGCCTTTGACTACACTTGCTGCATGGAAACAACTGGTTGTCAAAAGTCATAGAAAACAATTAGAGATATAAATATTTAAAATAAAATGCAGATAACCAAATGGAACTGCTTGGTTTTTACTTGGGCAAACGTTCTGGTTTAGTGTGTGTTGACTCAACCAGCTTCACAAGTAGAAAGTGGAAGGGTGCTGTATGTTTCCAGCCTGGGTTGCTGCAGTAGGCAATGTGGCTGTGCTGTTTTCCTTCTCAGGAAGGCAGCACAAGATATCCCTCCTCTTCACTTAGGGGAAGATCGACTAGTTCTTGTCCTAAGCTGTGAAAGACTTTGCCCTATTTTTTGGCAGAATCCATTAATAATCATTCTTTCCATCTTCTTTGCTCACTAGCTAAGTACTTGCCATGTGCAGCTGTAAAAAGTTGTTTCCAAAGAGAAATAAATTGGAGCAAAAACTTCTGTAATCGGAGATGCGGAGGAAAGCAGAAGGGCGTTTTCAGTTTGGTGTCCTTGGTTGCTTTTTGTTTGATTTGTGCCGTGCTTTAAACTAGAGCCCTTTACAGGACTGTGGGCCCCCTGGCTTGTCTGCATCTGGGTCCTCCCTGTCTTAGCTCTAGTAGCACTGACTTGCCCCATGTCCCTCCCAGGACCAGGGATAATCAGGACATCAGGAGTCCGTAAGAGACCCCTGTGCCAGGTTGGCAGCACCATGTCGATACCTTAAGGAAGCTGAGAAAACATAAGCATCTAGCAATTGGATTTAGATGCCTAAGTTAGAAAATTTAGTTTGAGTGTCAAAGTTATTGATTGTAGTTATAGTTTCTTGGGACATTTTTATTGAAAATATGTTCTAATTAATACTATCAGTTTATCAGTTTATCAAAACCTATCAAAACCTTTTTTTGCCTGAGATCAAAGGAGAATTTGGTACAAAATTTATATTTTATAAATTAGAAAATTCTAAAGTGAACTTTTAAAAGAAATTTAGAATACTTGAAGAGGAATATAGGATCTGCTGAAATTTGGACTTCCACCAACAGAATGTTTGGTTTGTTTTTTAATTCCTGATTAAGATAGAAATCTCTTATGTCTCAAACTTTGTCAGGTCATAAAATTATTTTCCCACTCTATTTTTTTCCCCAAATCTCACATTATTAAACTCATACAAATTTTTGTGCTTCTCCAGGTAGATCAGGGAATCTAGATTCTGTCTTTCATGTAACATTAGAGTTGCTTTGAGTTTGAAAGAACCACAGACTGATGCAAAACAGAACTTGGACCTTGCCATCTATTAGATAACTGCCAAAACAAGTAGATAAGTGTACTTCATAAATGAAATCTTCAGAAGCTATGTTAACTTATAGGACCTTCAGCTGGACAATGAAAACCTTAGATGAGGTACGGACAACTTAACTGTGTTGCCCTTACTGTGTTTCAGTTGGC